ACCGGAAATTAGACAGTCAACCTCTTCGTGCATGGGTCAGCGCTCAACTACTAAGCCACACCTACTGGGCAAAATTCTCAACTATTATCATCTTTTAGACCAGTGATTTTCAACCAGTGTACTGCAAGAATTTTTAAAACATGTGATACCTATTTAGTCAGGAGCACTGACCTCTTTTCCTGTAGCTTGTCAAATAAAAAAATGACAAGAGCCAGCATAACAATAGCTATCCAGTGTGAATGAATCAAAATTATACCTATTTTTTTTGTCAGATTGGCAAAAAATATAACATATTTTTGGGTGTGCAGATGAATTTTAGTAATTAGCTTATGTGTGCCATGAGTGTTGAAAATTGCTGTCTTACACCATCAATCCTCACCACCTTTTCCCCCCTTTTTTAATTAATTAATTTTTGTTACAGATGTTTCTCCTTTTCCCCCCATTGACACCCTCCTCCTGATCCCCCCTACCCCCCAGCATTGTTGTCTATGTGCATTGGTTACACACACATGCATATAAGTTTTTTGGTTTATCTCTTCCCTCCTGTTTTATCTCTGCCCCCTCTTCTGAGGTTTGTCAGTCTGTACCCTACTTCTGTGTCTCTGGGTCTGTTTTGTTCATTATATTCCATAAATAAGTGAGATCATGTGATATTTGTCTTTCTCTGATTGGTTTATTTTGCTTAGCATAATAACTCTCCAGGTCTCTCCATGTTGTCTCAAAGGATAATAGAGCTTTCTTTCTTACAGCTACATAGTATTCCATCGTGTATATGTACCACAGCTTTTGTATCCACTCATCTATTGATGGACACTTGGGTTGTTTCCAGATCTATTTTATCCTAAAACCCCTTTTAGGCAGTTTTTTTTGTACTTTCTTATTCTCTTTTCTATGTCTCTTGACTTCTGGGACACTAATTGTTTTTTAAATGTATTTAATCTATTTAGCTTTTTTTTTTATCCTCACTCGAGGACATTTTTTCAATATTTTGTTCAGATAGAGAGGGAGGGAGAGAGAGAGAGAGAAACATCGACATGAAAGGGACACATCAGGTGGTTGCCACCCACACGACCAACCAGGGCCAGGGACAAACTGCAACTGAGGTACGTGCCCTTAGTGGGAACCGAACCTGGGTTTCTCTGGACCACAGGCCGACACTCTAACTGCTGAGCCAAACCAGCCAGGGCTATTTAACTTTTTATTGAATCTATAATATCAGTGGATATATTAATTTTAAAAACTGTGTATTTGACAAATTTTTTTACTGACTTGTGCTTTGCTTTTGTTTTTGCTTCCTCTTTTTATGTCTAATAACTTTGAATATAAACTATTTTATATGAAGTCCCTGTGATTTTATTGTCTAGAGTCCTAAAAATCTATTCTTATTCTTTCAGCTACTATTTCTCATTCATAGGCAATGTTTGGGCTTTATGTGTAAGTGTTTTGTAATTTTGGATCATGGAATTGTAATCAGTTGTTCAGGGAGGAGTTTTTTCTGTGGGAATTCTTTGCAGCTTATCTTGAAGATTTGTTCCTCTGAGGTGGAGTTGTTTTAATGGTAGAAGGCAAGGCAGTAGAAAGAGGTTGTAGAACATCTTGAATACAATACTAAGAGTTTACTGTAATTTTGTAGACAGACAGTATTAGTTGAAAATGAGAAAAAAGAGCCTTGCAGCTGGCCGTGACCGCGGGTCAGGGGATTTGGGCCATGAAGCTGCTAAGCAGAGCCGGGTCCTTCTCGAGATTTTATTCCCTCAAAGTTGCTCCCAAAGTGAAAGCCACGAGCGCCCTTGCTGGAGTACTTTCCAGCCTCAGGACCTTGAGTTTACCAAACTACTGAATGGTTTAGTGATTGTTTCTTTGGAAAACTATGCTCCAGCATCCAGAATGGCTTGTTCATTAAAGCAAGGAGTAGGTACGAGGACGCGAACAACTTTGGAACCTCTCATCTGCTTTGTCTGGCGTCCAGTCTGACTACGAAAGGAACATTATCTTTTAAGATAACCCGTGGAATTGAAGCAGTTGCTGGTAAATTAAGTGTGACTTCAACAAGGTAAAACATGGCCTACACTGTGGAATGCCTGCGGAATGACATTGAAATTCTAATGGAGTTCCTGCTCAATGTCACCACAGCACCTGAATTTCATCATTGGGAGGTAGCTTCCCTTCAGCCTCAGCTAAGGATTGACAAAGCTGTGGCTTTTCAGAATCCACAGGCTCGTATCATTGAAAATTTGCAAGCTGCAGCTTACCGAAATGCCTTGGCTAATTCCTTGTATTGTCCTGATTATAGGATTGGGAAAGTGACACCAGATGAGTTACATCACTATGTTCAGAACCATTTTACAAGTGCAAGAATCGCTTTGATTGGACTTGGTGTGAGTCACCCTGTTCTGAAGCAAGTTGCTGAACGATTCCTGAACATGCGGGGTGGGCTTGGTTTATCTCATGCAAAGGCCAGGTTCCGAGGAGGTGAAATTCGAGAACAGAATGGAGACAGTCTCATCCACACTGCTTTTGTAGCAGAAGGTGCTGACACAGGAAGCGCAGAAGCAAATGCATTCATTGTTCTCCAGCATGTCCTCAGTGCTGCGCCCCATGTCAAGAGGGGCGGCAATGCCACTAGCCCTCTGTACCAAGCTGTTGCCAAGGAGATCTACCAACCATTTGACGTTTCCGCATTTAATGCCGATTACTTGGATTCTGGACTCTTTGGGATTTACACCATCTCGCAGGCTGCAGCTGTCGGAGATGTTATCAAGGCTGCCTTACAACCATGTAAAAGCTATTGCTCAAGGAAACCTTTCCAGTACAGATGTCCAGGCTGCCAAGAACAAGCTGAAAGCTTGGTACCTCATGTCAGTGGAGTCTTCCAAAGGTTTCCTGGATGAAGTCGGATCTCAGGCTCTCATTGCTGGTTCGTTCGTGCCACCAACCACAGTCCTTCAGCAGATTGACTCAGTAGCTGATACTGATGTTGTAAATGCTGCAAAGAAGTTTATTTCTGGCCAGAAGTCAATGGCAGCAAGTGGAAATTTGAGGCATACCCCTTTCGTTGATGAGCTGTAAACCTGAAACACATTGCAGGGAGAGCTGGATGTTTTCTCAACCAGAGCAGCAAACACACGAAAGTCACGATGCATCTATAATATAACATTTGTCTTTGTTTTCAATGAGGTGAAATATCTTAAGAAGTATAAATGCAGGTAATTGTTCCCTGCTGACCTAAAGTCAATAAAACAGTCTGTTCTCTTGCAAAAAAAAAGAAAGAAAATGAGAAAAAAGAGAGTAATATAGAGGCTGGTCTTGTAAGGAGGCATTTCTTCTGTGACAGAAAGATAAATAAAAATGAAGGTGAAGAAACCTGGAAGTGGGAGAAAGTAATCTGGAAGTGGGAGAAAGTTTTGGAACTTAAATCTACTAGATGATCCAGATTTTTTATTAAGACTGGAGGCAGACCCTGACCAGTTGGCTCAGTGGTGCAAGCATCAGCCTGCAGACCAAAGGGTCTCATATTTGATTCCCTTCAAGGGCATATACCTGGGGTGTAGGTTTGATCCCCAGCCCTAGTTGGGGTTGTTCTGGAGGCAACCAATCCTTGTATCTCTCTCAGATCGATGTTTATCTCTCTTTCTCTCCCTCCCTCTCTTTATCAAAAATCAATGGAAAGATATCTTCAGGTGAGAATTAACAAAAAGCAAAACAAAAAAAAAAACTGAAGGCAGGGTAGTTTTGAAAGAGTGAGGTAGAATAGCTATAGTGATAGCAACAACTGAGCGTTCATTAAGTAACGGTTAAATTTTAGGCATTGCGTGAGACTCCTTTCATAAATTTTTCTCATGTAATTCTCACAACACACAGCCTTGAAAGGCAAATGGTAATATCTGTGCTTATCTCAATGTACTGAAATTTGATGGGATGAGATAACTTGACCAAGGTTGAAGAACTGTTAAATGAGGAGCCAGATTTTACTTGTCTTTGGTTATGAAAATTTCTATTGTTTCTTTCAAGCCCCTGATAGAATAATTTGGAGTTGAGAAAATTAAGGCTGGGTCAAGCCTGAAAAATTATCTGAAGTCAGTTGATGCCAGGTCTTTGTGGGTTTGTGTGTGTGTGTGTGTGTGTTTTTTTGGCATGTTCTATAATTATAATACACTAAGCAGCTAGTGTGTATTGCGTTCTTACTCTATATTAAGCTTGTTACATGTATTATATCATAATTCTGAAGACAATCAAATGAGAAATAGATGGTGTTTTTTTAGTTTAAAAAAATTTATTTTAGATAGAGGAAGGGGGATGGGCATCAGAGAGAGAGAAATATCAGTATGAGAGACACATCAGTTGGTTGCTTCCTGCAGGCACCCTGACCAAGCGCGGTAATATTTTTATATACACTTGTCAAATGATGAAATAGAGACTCAGATATATTAATTAGTTAGCTTAATCACCAAATAGTAAGCCAGAATTCAAAATCAGTCCGTGCACCATGGAATATACTGTTCTGTGCATTGGAAGAATATAGACATGCACGTGACACATTTTGTTACATCATATTTACAGTCCAGTAAATGGTAATGGTACCTTCAGTCAGTCTGTGTTATCTTCTGAGAATTGGAAAGAGGAACTAAATTTATCCTCTTCCTGTATCTACCCACTTTGTATCATGTTGCCTTATTTAAGAAATTAATACCTTCAAGTTCTATATGACCATCCTTATAGTTTATAGGTATTTATGTATAAATGATAACTTGAGCTATAATAAGAGTTTCTAACATGGACCTTATGTATTCTTTCAGATGATTTAATTTTTAAAGTAGTTTTATAAATCTTTTTTTTTTTTTTTTAGTTTTTAGGTATTTGTTGAATAAAATTGATCTATAGTAAATAATACCAACATTTTTTATTATATTGTATAAGCATGAAATGGGCAGGTAGAAATTTGTAAATTCTTTTAGGTCTTTTATCTGTAAAATCTGAATATTTGTATTTTTTATTATTAGAACCAGATCAACAGTAACCATCTTCGAAGAGCAGAACAAGAGGTGACCAGTCTACAGGAGAAGGTGCAGTATCTTTCTGCGCAGAACAAAGGACTACTTACTCAATTAAGTGAAGCAAAGCGCAAACAAGCAGAGATTGAATGCAAGGTAAATGTATCAAGTAGCTAGTTTGTTTTTGTCAATATAAAAATGCCTTTTTTATTTTATCTCATCATTGATCCTATTATTTTAAAACCAAATAAAACCATAAGAAGCGAATTTTATTTCTCACTTTTTCTGAACTTGGTTTGATGGTTGCTTTTAGACCAGGTTAGGGCATCTTGCTTTTGGGTGGATTACAGGCAGGATACCTCATTTTCAACCACTTGGTTAAATGCCTGTGCATGAAATTAAAGGGTTGACACTGTTACCTTTTTACAATTTTTCTTTGGACCTGTAGCCCCCCTTTAAAACCAAAGCTTTAAAGGTCTCAACCGTAAAGATAGGTAGGTAATTTAGAGAGGTTAGAGCAACTGTGCTTTGATAGGTATCTTTTTCGTGGGCAATGAATATTGACATGTTTTGTGAATAGAGCAGGGAGCAAAAGAAGTGTATGTGTGCCAATGAGTTGGGAAAACTGTGCACATTTCTCATTATTATTTTAATAAGTTTTTTTTTTTTGTAAAGTGTTTGGATTCATAAAACATGAAAAAGTATTTGAATGCAAGTACATTTTTTCCTGAAATAAATTTACAGTATAGCAGTGCTAAAAGAGAGAGGAGATGGGAGGTGGGGTGGGAGGAGAGGGTGTGTGTGTGAAATAACTGAAGAGATGATTGTGCTCTGAGCATTAGAATGCATTACTAAGGACAAGTTATGGGATTTAAAAAATAAACTAGACATCCATCTTTCCATGGTGAGATAGTAGGAATGATGCCCTTTAAAGATTCCAGCCCTATTATTCTATGATAAGAAATAAGACTTTCAAATGGCACATATAAAGCTGTAATTCCATCAACTTGTTCTAGTGTCATTAAAAACCAAGAGTGAAGCTTGAGTGGTTTATCAGTGTCACTGAAATCCAGAGATGAAATTACATCCTAATTAATATGCATGACTGTTACAATTTACACTGACAGAAATCTGTAGGCAGTACTAAAATTTGTACTAATTTAAGAGGAGTCCCTCTTGAAGGATATAACTAGACTAATTTAGAAATAAAATTATATAGCATGAGGTTTGATTTGTTATACTAATTTTGATTTGTTATGCTAATATCTGATTGAGTTTTTATTCTGCCATATTGTCTGTGCTGACTTATTTTTAATAAAGAACTAAATGTAATCTTTTTCATTATTGGTATAAATTTTCTTTAAAATGTGTTGATAACACTATTAATTGGATTTAATATTACTCCTCAGATGCCCTATCACCTTTTAATCAAAGTAAAGTGTTCTTTGGAAATAAATATTTAGGGAGTTTGCAGATAAAAATAATTGTTTTCTTTGAATTTAAGCAGTAGACTCAGGTTAAGAATTCTAGATAATTATAAGAATGGTTTTGAGATTTTAAAAAATTTTGATTGTTCATTAATACCTCTGTGATGTATGTTACAGATGCTGACTCTAATATCTCCCCTGTGTTTAAGTTGTATATTGATTTAATTAATCTTTTCCATTTCATGGCTGTGCTGTAGTATACTTAACTAGGTAGGCCCTTATTGATGGGAACATGGGTTGTTCCTAGTGCTTTGCTACTATAAACAGAGTATAGTGAATATCCTAGTAACATACATAATTGTAGATGTATAGAAATATATCTATACATTCTTTTTTTTTTCTAAAGGAGGGTTTAAAATTTTTCTTTATTAATTTTAGAGAGAGAGGAAGGGAGAGGGAGAAAGAGAAACATCGATGAGAGAGAACATCGATTGGCCACCTCCTGCATGCCGTCCACTGGGGATTTGGCCCACAACTTGGGCATGTGCCCTGACCGGGAATCAAACCAGTGACCTGTTGGTGCATGGGTTGATGCTCAACCACTGCGCCACACTTCTAGGATAAATTCCTGTAAATGTTATTGTTTGATCAATGGGTAAACATATTTGTACTTTTCATAAATTTTGTCAAATTACCCTCCTTAGGGTTGCACGATTTTCTACTTTGACCAGCAGGGCATTATAGTATTTGTTTCTTCATCATGTTACTTACAAAGTGTGTAGGCAAATCTTTTTGTTTTAAAATAGATGTAATTTACATATTCTAAGATAGTGATTCTCAAATAGGGTTGGGATGAGGTGAGATTATGAGACTTCAAAGAATGATGGCATCTACTCATTAGTAATGATATACTATGGACTGGGAGTTAAGGGGAAGGGGTAATTACGATGTAGTGCTAGAAGGTGGTATCAGAGTTGGGACCTACAGAGTAAGAAAGAATCAGCCTTATGAAGAGCTGGGGGAAGATCCCTGCATGAAATGGGTCACAGAGTTCAAAAGCAGGAAAGAACTTGATTGCTGAGTCTCATACATAATGAAAAGCTTAATAAGATAAAGTCAGGAGGTAGGCCTACCATGTAAATTGTTATAGCCCATGGTAATGACTTTGGGTTTTACTCTCAAGTACTATGGGAGGCCAGTGAGTAGGAAAGCAATATATGTGTGGGGTTTTTGGGTTTGGGTTTTTTTTTTTCTGTTTTACTATTTTGCTTCAGATTTTTTTCACTTTTGATTTTGAAATAATTTTTATTTTTAAAGAAAAGTAGCAAAGGTAGTACAGAGAATTCTCTTTAATCAACTCCTCCTAATGCTAACATCTTACATAACCATGGTACACATATAGGTACTGAGAAATGAATGTTGATACATTGTTAGTACTAAACTACAGATTTTATTTTCCCATCATGTTTCAGTATTCTCTGACCTGTGACAGTTTCTCAGTGTTTTCTTGTCTTTCATTACATTGACTAGTGAACACTGATCAGGTATTTTGTAGAATATCTCTCAATTTGGTACTGTCTGATGTATTCTCATGCTTAGACTGAAGTATTTTAGGAAAGAATACAGATAAATTGTCCTTCTAATCCCATCATATGGGGCATGTTGTACTGATATGTATTACTTCCAGTGCTGCTAACCTTGGTCATTTGATTAAGTTGGTGTCTGCCAGCTTTCTCCACTACAAATGTATTTCCTCTCAGACTCTGTTGATGGCAAGCAAGTTATTTAGTCTAGCCCGTAGTCTACGCTGGGGCAGGAGCATTAAGCTACACCTCCTGAATGAAAGCATATCAAAGAATGTGTGGGCATATGTTAAAACCACGACAGTAATTAAATATTTGGAGGGAACTATTTTGAGGCTCTGCAAATATTCTTTAAGTTTCAGCAACTAATTTTAGCATTTATTAGGGGATGTTGCTTGTAGCAATTACTGTAATTATTTTTTAAAGAACCACATGCCATTGTATGTAGAAATAGGTTTGAGGTAGGGTTGGAGAGGGATTTGCTGAGATCATCAGGTAATACTAGTACAGGACAGCCCTGGCCAGTTTGGCTCAGCAGTTGGAGCATTGGTCTGTGGACCAGAGGGTCCCAGGTTCCGTTCCTGCTAGGGGCACATACCAAAAAAAAAAAAAAAATAATAATAATAATAATAATAATAATACAGGACTGAGATTCTAGCTTTAGCTTAGGAATTGGCAGTTAAATAAAGAGAAATTGATCAATTCAAGATCTACTTTTCTAGAGAACAATAAGACTTGGTGATTAGATAGATTGGAGAGGGGGAAATTAATGCTTACTTTTAAAAAAAGATGTTTTCATTGATTTTAGAGAGAGGAAGAGGGGGGAGAGAGAGAGAGAAACATCTATCTATTGGCTGCTTCCTGCACACTCCCTCCTGTACAACTCAGGTATGTGCCCTGACCAGGAATCGAACCGGTAACCTTTTGGTACATGGGGCGATGCTCAACCTACTGAGCCACACCGGCCAAGGTGATGCCTAAATTTTTGTTTTTATACTTGATAGAGATATATATATATATATATATATATATATATATATATATATATATATTTCTTTATTGGTATTAGAGAGAGAGGAAGGGAGAGGGATAAAGAGAGAAAAATACCAATGAGGGAGAACATCGATTGGCTGACTCCTGCATGCCCCCACTTGGGATCAGACCCACAACCTGAGCATGTGCCCTGACCAGGAGCCAGCGACCTCTTGGTGCATAGGTCAGTTCTCAACCACTGAGCCACACTGGCTGGGCTTGATTGATTTTTTTATACAAGATTAACTAAAATTAGTAGAGCATAAATGTATTAGTTATCTGTTGGTATTTAACAAATTACTTCTAAAATTTAGTTACTTGAAATGGCAATAAGCGCCAAAATTCCAAAGTTTCTGTGGGTCAGAAATTCAGGAGCAGCTTAGCTAAGTGGTTCTGTTTTACTCTCTTGAGGCTGCAGCCATCTGAAGATTTAACTTAAGCAGAACGATAGGTGTTTTAGGTGGCTTACTCACATCATTGCAGGGTGGAACTGGCTGTTGGAGAGTTCACTGTATTGTCCTCAAGGGGCTTTCTCTTAGTTAAGGATATAAACAAGTAAACATACAACGAGAATTCAGTATGAATAGTGCTATGATTGAGGGGGCATATAGGACACTATAATGGAAGTTTAGTGTAAGAATTATGGTTAAGGAAGGCCAACTAAGTAATGATTACGCTGAGACCTTAAGGATATATAGGAGTTAGTCAAGGAAAGGCAACAGAATTCACTAGGCAAAGGGAATAGCATGTGTGAAGAGCAGAAGTGAAAAGGAAGTTATTTGAACTAAAAGAAGTTAATTCCAGCTAGAGAGGAGGGTAGTGAGGAATACTGGTAAGATATGAAGCAAGAGTAGTAAACGGGACCCCAGTCATTTTGAGTGTTGGACACCAGTATAAGGACCTGGAACATTATCTAAAGATCTATGGAGTGCCATTAAAATGTTTTAATTAAGGACCCTGGCCTATTTGGCTCAGCGGTTAGAGCATCTGCCCGCAGACTGGAGTCGCGGGTTTGATTCTGGTCAAAGGCACATCTGGTTGCGGTTTGGTCCCCAGCCCTGGTTGGGGTTGTGTGGGAGGCAACCAATCGGTGTGTCTCTCTCACATCTATGTTTCTTTCTCTCTCCCTCCCTTCCACTCTATCTGAAAAAATAAAAATGGAAAAATATCCTTAGGTGAGGATTAAAAAAAATTTTTTTAAGAAAAAAATGTTTTAAATAAGGGAATGACAGACCAGATTTGAATTTTATTAAACATAGACACTGTGCTGGAGCCAACTAGTAAAGGCTTGCAAGAACCAATTGTTAAATTTTTAAGAATTTTGTGACACATTTGTTAAACAGCCATATTAAAATTTTTATTTAATATAAACAAATTATGGTAGAACAAAGGTAATAAGCACTCAAACTTCATCATTTCCTAATTATTTTGCATTTTACTGTTTTCTGTGCTTTTGAGGTTATTTACCTCTTGTAGCTGTTGGAAATTCCATTCAATAGTGTGTTAGTGCACTTTTCTTCCAAACTCTGTATATCAGGCATGTTATGTTGGTAGCTTGAAAGGAGCCATAGTAGAAGTATTTATACCATGTAAATTGGCAAGCCTACATATCAGGGCTTGATTTATTGTTTAGTTGATTGTATAGAGAGGGGTTAGCAACCTATAACCCATAGCCCAAGTCTGTCTGGCTCCCTGTTTTTATAAATAAAGTTTTATTGGAATACAGCTTTGTTCATTCATTTATGTACTGTCTATGGCCATTTTCACAGTCCAGTAGCAGATAGAATAGTTGTGATAGACTGTATGGCCCTCAGATCTAAAATATTTACTGTCTGAGCCATTAAAGGAAAAGTTTTTGACTCCTGCTCTAGGCTAATAGACTAATAATGCAAATTAAAGCCTAAAAGTGTGTTGTATATTCAGCCTTTACATTGTGAATAGCACAAAATATTAAGGAAGTTTTCTCATATTTAATTACTATTATCATAATCAGCAAAAAACTTGCTCATTGACAAATGAATGAAATTCTAATATGTCTTTTTCATTTCACTTTCATCTTCTCTCTAACATAAATAAAAAATACTTAGCCAGTGTTCATATTAAAACTTCATTTATTCCTCAGTTTCAACCATAGGTGTCTAATGGATACAAGAATGGCAAAAATAAGTGAAAGCATTCTGTGAGAATATATTGACTATATAGAATTTATAATAATGAGTATTATATCTTATTATCTGAGTGTATTGTACTATACATTCTTTATATCAGTTTATATTGAAATATATAATAAACTTATGCATAAACATGTACACATGGATATATGCACATGCATGTGAACACACATACACACATACACACACACAAATACCCCTACCTCAGAGCTGGTTGTTAAACATTTATTAGCACAGCATTGGGTACAGGGACTACATGTTCTGGCCATATGCAAATTTACAAAATATTTAAAGCAGTATTTGCTTGAAGTAAAGTACCAATATCATATCTGAGGAACAATAATAAATATAAATTTTTAAATTATTTTTTTAAACCTCACCCAAGGATATGGTTTTTTAAAAATTGATTTTGGAGAGAGAGAGAGCAAGAGAGGGAGAGAAACATTGATGTGAGAGAGAATCATTGATCAGTTGCTTCCTGCACAGGCCCTACTGAGGATTGAACCCACAACCTGGGTATGTACCCTGTTTGAGAATTGAACCCACAACCCTTTGGTGCACAGGATGATGTTTTAACCAACCAAACCACACTAGCCAGGGCAAGAATAAATATAATTTTTTCTTTAAAAGCTTAATTATTATACTTTTACTAAAGTTTAGTAAATTTTTTAAATCCTCACCTGAGGATTTATTTATTTTATCCTCACCCGAGGACATTTTTGCATTCATCTTCAGATAGTGCGGGAGGGAGAGAGGGAGGAAGAGAGAGAGAAACATCACTGTGAGAGAGACACATCAACTGGCTGCCACCCACACGACCCCAACCGGGGCTAAGGACAAACTGCAACTGAGGTATGTGCCCTTACTGGGAACTGAACCCGGGACTCTCTGGTCTGTGGGCCAATGCTTCCAACCGCTGAGCCAAACCGACCAGAGCCACCAGAAGATATTTTTTCCATTTATCTTCAGACAGAGTGGGAGAGAGAGAGACAGAGAGACATCAACGTAAGAGAGACACATTGATTGGCTGCTTCCCATACAACCCCGACCTGGGCGGGGACCGATCCGCAATTGAGGTACGTGCCCTTGACAGAAATCAAGTCCGCAGGCTGAGACTCTAGTCCACAGGCTGATGTTCTAACCACCAGGGCTAACTTTAGTAATTTAAAAAAATTTGATATTATAATAATATCAATATTATAAGCTCACCATGCTTACACATTTTTGATAAGTGATTGATAAATTTCAACGGAAGTTAATGGAGGAGCAAAATATTTTTGCATGCCCTTTTCTCTACCATATTTTCTTGTTTCTGGATCAGTATTATTTAGCATGGATATTGTAGAATGTGGTTTTAGAGTTTTTCCTTTGTGAAATTTTGAGGTGGAGGGGTAAATATACAAAATTGTGATATAATCTAATTTTTATTATTCTTTGTAGTATAATGTAAATATTTGTTAACATCTATTGCTTCAGAAAACATATAACTTTAAAAATATTATCTAGCTAACATACTTTTAGTATTCTTATTCTTTATTAATCTGTTATCCTAGTGAAATGTTTGAAAGTTCTCAATAATTGTTCTTTCATTAAAAACTTAACTTCCACAGTCACCAATAATTTTAATAAAGTTAAATTTTAATTTAAATATTTTGAGCAATATTAATTTATATGAATGATATTTTTAATATTTAAAGATGGAATGCCATTCTATATATTCTTCATTTCATATCAAGTTTAGGAGATAATGGCTTTTTTTCCTCATTTAATGGGCTTGTTATTTTCTAAATTTTGAGACAGGTTATAGTGTTTATGTTTTTTTATTAGTTTGGTATTATACAGTTTATTACTGGTTTGTTTTGTTTGCCACCCTAGAACAAGGAAGAAGTGATGGCTGTGAGACTCCGGGAGGCAGATAGCATAGCTGCTGTGGCTGAACTACAACAACACATTGCAGAGCTTGAAATCCAGGTACCATGCGAAAATAATAAAGTACACATAAAAATAATGCAATAGTTTCTTCTTCCCTCTGCACCTGAACAATGACTTATATCTTCATTCTAAAAATGACTGTGATTCTGTTTTCAACACTTATTCATTTCCAAGCCCATTCTTTTTATTGTGGTAAAATACACATAACACATTTTAAAATGTATAGTTCTGAGACATTAAATACATTTACATTGTTGTGCAACCAGACTCTAGAACTCTTGTCACCTTGCAAAACTGAAACTCTATACCCATTAAACAACTCCCCATTCCCTTCTTCCCCCAGCCCCTGGAAAGCACCCATTCTACTTCCTGTCTCTGAATTTGAATACTTTGGGTACCTCATATAAGTAAAATCATGTAGTATTTGTCTTTTTGTGACTGGCTTCTTGCACTTAGCATAATGCCATTTTCATCCATGTTGTAATATGTGTCAGAATTTCTTTCCTTTTTAAGGCTGACTAGTATTCCATTGTATGTGCGTGCCACATTTTGTTTATCCATTTATCCATTGATGAATACTTGGGTTGCTTTCACCTTTTGGCTATTATGAGTAATGCTACTATGAACATGGTGTACAAATATCTGTTTGAGTCCCTGCTTTCATTTCTTTGGGGTATATACCCATAAGTGGAATTGCCAGATTGTGTGGCAAGTCTGTGTTTAATTATTTGAGAAATTGCTGTTTTTCACAGCAGCTGCAGTATTTTACGTTCCCACCAGCAATGCACACATTTCTTCACATCCTCACCAGCACTTATTAATTTTGTTTCCTTTTTTTCTTTTCTTTTTTCTTTTCTTTTTAATTAGGAAGGAGGGAGAGAGTGAGAGACAGAGACAGAGAGACATTGATGTGAGAGACACATCGACTAGTTGCCTCTCACGTGACCCCAACTAGGGCTGGGGATGAACTGCAACTGAGGTACGTGCCCTTGGCCAAAATCAAACCCAGGTCTCATTGGTCTGCGGGCCGACGTTTTAACTGCTGAGCCAAAAGAGCCAGGGCTTGTTTTCTTTTTTTTCAGTAACAGCCATCCTAATGGGTGTGCCTTGGTATCTCACTGTGGTTTTAATTCACATTTCCCTAATGATTAGTAATACTGAGCATCTTTCATGTGCTTATTTGCCTTTTGTATATCTTCTTTTTTTTTTTTTTATCCTCACCCGAGGATATTTTCCATTTTTTGTACAGATAGAGTGGGAGGGAGAGAGAGGAAGGAGAGAGAGAGAGAAACATCGACGTGAAGGGACACATCGAGTGGCTGCCTCCCGCACAACCAACCAGGGCCGGGGACAAACTGCAACCGAAGTACGTGCCCTTAGCGGGAACCGAACCCGGGTCTCTCCGGACCGCAGGCCGATGCTCTAACCGCTGAGCCAAACTGGCCAGGGCTTGTATATCTTCTTTAGAGAAATGTCTGTTCATGTCTTTGCCCATTTCTTGATGAGGTTGTTCTTGTGTTTTAGAAGTTCTTTAAAGTATATTCTCAGTGTCAGTCCCCTATTGGATATGTGATTTATAAACATTTTCTCTCATTTCATGGGTTGCCTTTTTGTTCTCTTATTTCCTTTTGATGTGCAAAAGTTTTTTTTTAAGTCCAACTTAGTGTTTTTTCCTTTGTTGCCTGCACTCCAAGTCCATTTTTGAATGATAATTTATTGCATTTCTATATTGTCAAAAGGAAATTCAAAGCTTTAAAAAGAAATGTGTTTTGTCACTTCTTTGTCCTACTTCTTATTGTACAATATAAGGTAATACATTTCCAATATAGGCAAAGTATTATGTTTAAAATCTTATTTCTTTCACAGTTTTTTTATGTTCTTTTCCAAGTCACAAATACAGTTTCTCTACAATATCTAAAATTTTCTCTTTTTTGTTATTTATTTATTTATTTATTTATCCTCACCCGAGGACATTTTTCATTTTTTGTTCAGATAGAGTGGGAAGGAGAGAGAGGAAGAGAGAGAGAGAGTGAAACATCGACGAAACATCGACGTGAAAGGTACACGTCGAGCGGCTGCCACCCACACGACCCAACCAGGGCCGGGAACAAACTGCAACCGAGATACGCGCCCTTAGCAGGAACCGAACCCAGGTCTTTCTGGACCGCAGGCCGATGCTCTTAACCACTGAGCCAAACTGAATCCTTTTGTCCTTAAATGTCAATTAAAATTCAGTTAATTTCTAAGACTTACATATTATAACCTCATCTTTTGATCTGGGTCAAAAGTAATCACAACACATTATAATTTGTGTAAGTTTATAAAAAGGTACCCTTTATGTTCTGTTGATAATATTCCCCATATAGTAGTACATATTCAGAAAAACGTACGAGGCATAATATATTTGTAATCACCTATTTAAGTCATGCTATCATATGCAGTTCTAGTTTAATATGTATTGTTTTTACATCAAGAAAATTATAAAATGTTTTATACACGTCAGTCACAAAATAGCAAGATTTAAATCACTCTTGTTGATTCTGAAATATTTATTAAAATGAAAAACTTAGTATAATACATATTTTGTTTAAAATGAAATATAACATTTTACTTTTGAAAAATAGAACAGAAAATGCATGAAATTTTTACTAACAATAGCATCAAATGTCACTTAAGTGCTCACTGGAATCCTAATTGCCAAATCCATTGGTATTTTTTCAGTATTTATCTTGCTTGAACTTAACTCATTTGTCGTCATTGACTTAACTCTTATCCTCTTTACATTCTCTCCTCCTGTGGCTTTCCTAATACCACTCACTTTTGACTTTAAACTGTTGTTTTTAGTCTTCTCTATCAATTCTGAATCTTTGTATTCTTCCAAAAATGCAAATTTTGGGTGTTTTAAAATCTGTATTCAAATGAAGTCTCACTTACATGTCTTCAAGAGCCATCTGTACAAGTGAAACCTAATATATCTCCAGCCCTATCATGTTTTCCCTAACCAGTAATTTTTAAACCTTTTAAAAAAAATTAATAACACAATATACAGAGAAGTTTGTAAACAAAGCAAAATTTATATATTACCTATATGACCACTATAGAGAATATTGCTTATACCCCAGAAGTCTACCTAACCACATGCTACTGCCTTATCCTGAATTTTAGGTAACCTAAAATTTATGGTGATTACCATAAAACTACTTATAGTTGTATTATCTTTGTATGCATTTCTGATCCACACAGTTTAGTTTTCCCTGTTTCTGAATATGGTATAATCAAATCAAATATTTTCATTTTGTCTCTATCTTTGTTCAACATTATTTTAAGAGTCATCATTTTATTTTTGTACATGTTCCATTTTATTAACGCATCACAGTGTATTTATCCATTATAATATTAGTGGTTATTTGGGACTTTTCTGATTGGGACTGTTATGAACAAAGCTGTGATTATGAGCAATCTTGTGCATCATGCTGATCACCTGTACACGAGTTCCTCTACATGTATATGAAGGTATGGAATGGCTGGGTCAGAGAGCATGTAAACCTTCAACTTTATTTTCTAAAATGCACCAGATTAAACTCCCAACAGCACCAAATGAAAGTTCTTGTTGTTCCACATCCTCCCCTAACACTATAGAGTGGGAGGGAGGGAGGGAGAGAGGAAGAGAGAGAGAGAGAGAAAAACATCGATGTGAGAGAGAAACATCGATGTGAGAGAGACACATCAACTGGCTGCCACCCACATGATCCCAACTGGGGCCGGGGACAAACTGCAACCGGGAACGAACCCGGGTCTCTCTGGTCCATGGGCTGACACTCTAACCGCTGAGCTAAACTGGCCAGGGCTTGTGTATATTTTTCTATCGCGCTTTTTCTTATGGATGTGTACTTCTTTATTGATGTTACATTTGGCAGATTTCTATTCTCATTCTGCGATTTGTCTCTTGTTGTTGTTTTTAAATTTATTGTATCTTTTGATGAATACACCAATAGTTTTAAAGGACAGTAGACAGCTCTACCTGGAAATTGTAAACACTTCAAATCGCCATGTTTAAAATCAAATGTGTTCCTATTTCAACCAAAATATTTTCTTTTTTTGTATATTAAGTCTTGATCAGTGGTATTATATATTATTGAATTATTCAACCTAATAGGAATTTCACTTAATGCTTTTCTTACCCTCTACCATATATATCAGGGCTGTTACATAAAGTGTGCAAGTTTTAAACTTTACCTGATAATACCCAATTATTTTACCAAGTGCTTGTGCTAGTTAACATTTCTACCAACATTTTCCATCTTCACCTACTCTAGTAGATTTGCCTTCATGTAATTTTTTTTTTCTTAAGAGAGTGCAGAGCCCAGCAAGTGTAGCTCAGATGACTGGGCATTGTCCCATGCACAGGTCACCAGTTCAATTCCCAGTCAGGGTACATGCCCGGTTTGCAGGCTCAATCCACAATACAGGTTGTGCAGGAGGCAGCCAATAGATGTTTCTCTCTCATTCATTCATTCTTTCTCTTTCTCTCTCTCTCTCTCTCTCTCTCTCTCTCTCTCTCTCCTCCCTCTAATAAATGAAAACATATTTTTTTAAAATAGAGAGAGTCCTCCTGTTGCTCATAGGGAAGAAGGACACACCACATTTTATTTTTAATCCTCACCTGAGGATATGTTTATTGATTTGAGAGAGAGAGAGAAACGTCAGTGTGAGAGAGAAACATTAATTGGTTGCCTTCTGTAGGTATCCCAACCTGGGATCGAAACTGCAACCTAGGTATGTGCCCTGACCGGAAATCAAACCCACAACCTGTTGGTGTGCAGGACAACTCTCCACCCACCTGAGCCACCTGGCCCAAGGTTTCAAATAATTCTTAATAATTCATACAAATTAAAGTGTCTTGTCCAACTCTTTATTTCCTTCAAAAGAGAAAAGTTCTATATAAATGTAAAACTAAATCAAAGGTAATTTTCTATTTTAAAGAATAGTTTATTGGTTTTTAGAGAAAGGGGAAGGGAGAAGGAGAGAGAGAAACATGG